GAGGCCGAGCGCGAGGAAGAGGAAATGGAAGCCGCAGCAGCGGCCTCCTCCGTCGCCGCCGCCGCCGCCGCACCGGCCAACTCCCAGAGCTTCCCAAGCCTCCGCGAATCCGTCACCGCGAAGCCCAAGAAGAAGAAGATGAGCCTGAATGAGTTCTACTCCGTCTCCAGCGCTACCTTGAACCGTCCCGTCGCGTCCAAGGGGCTCACTCCGGACGAGATGCTCCGTCTCCCCACAGGCCCACGCGAGCGCGACCCGGACGAAATGCAGTACGGGACCCGTGGGTTCTCCAGTTACGGCCGCTCCGGCGGCCCTCCTCCTGGAAGGAACCGGGACGATTTCAACGATGGCGGGTCGTGGGGCGGTGGTGGTGGTGAGAGGAGGCAGTATGGCGGTGGTTACGATGACGAGCGGCGGGGTCCTCCTAGGGTTTCGGATTTCGATCAGCCTTCGCGAGCTGATGAAGCGGACAATTGGGCAATGGGGAAGAAGGCTCTTCCGTCGATGGATTCTGGCCGTCAGAGTAGGTATGGCTCGCTTGGCAGCGGGGGTGGCGGCGGCATGGGAGGTGCCTCTAGGGCTGATGATGTGGATAACTGGGCTTCTGGTAAGAAGCCGGCGGCTGCTCCTTCTAGACCTTCGAACTTTGGGTCTGGGTTCCGTACTTCTGGGCCGGAGCCTGATCGGTGGACTAGAGGTGAAGGAATCCGTGAGCTGGAGGCGACGGAGAGACCGAGATTGGTTTTGAATCCTCCCAAAAGTGATGTTGCGGCAGTGACCGACTCACCTACTGAGGCAATCAAGACGAACAAGCCAAGCCCATTTGGGGCGGCGAGGCCGAGGGAGCAAGTACTGGCCGAGAAAGGGTTGGATTGGAGGAAGCTTGAAAATGATATTGAAACGAAGAAGACTTCTTCCCAATCAAGCAGGCCAACAAGCGCCCATTCCAGCAGGCCTTCGAGTGCACATTCCAGCAGGTCTGAGGCTGCTCCAGCTGGGTTACTGCAGCAGGGGTTGGAAAATTTGGCGAGACCAGCTAGACCAAAAGTGAATCCCTTTGGTGATGCGAAGCCCAGAGAAGTGTTGTTGCAGGAAAGAGGGCAGGACTGGCGAAAAATTGATCGTGATTTGGAGCATCGCAGCATTGACAGGTCTGTGTTAACTGTGACTTTCTTGTTATTTAGGATGATTGTGGTGATCTGTGATGCTGTTGAAGCTATTGAATGTCAAGTGTTTATGCTACTTGGAAGGGACGGGGAGAACTTAAAAGCTTGTGTTTTACGATTCGTTTAGTCTTGAAAGCTGTAGCATTTTTTTTTTTTTTGCCGTCTTTAGTCCTGGAAGTTATAAGAGCCATCTACATTCTTTTGTTGGACGTGGAAGAAAAGAATTAGATGTTATGTACATTTAGATGACTAAGAGTTAGAGCGCTGTGGTATGGTTACCTGTCCATCCTCCGGGTGGTATTGGTTCAGAGTTCATAGTAGTTTATGTCACTTGGGTCCTCTATACTGCATTCTTATTATTGGTAACTAAAGAGTAAGTTTAGCTTATTATATTGTATGCTGTATTAATACACGAAGAAGTCCTGTGAAGCTTAAAGTATAGAAGTTCATGTGAAACTACCAAGAAATTGCTGAATAAGTTTGGCTTTTTATGCTGTGTTATATTAATGCATGAACAATTCATCTCCAACTAAAAGCATAGATACTCATATGAAGCTAACAATGAAATTACTAGATATATATGTTCTGCTTACTAGGATATGATGATGTTATAGTTGCACCTAAACAAGCCATATTAATCAAAACACATAGATTTTCCCATGTTCTCTGAAGTAAACAGGGTAACCAATTTGTCTATTAGACATTCTTATGTATCTTTATTGAAGTTGGTGCATCATTTTTAAACGGAATGGATATGCGAGCACCCTGAACCATAATGTTTATTCCAGTAGTGTTTACGTTGGTTAGTTAGGGTTCAGGTGGTCACATCTGCTTGGTTTTGTCAAAGGGGTTTTCAAGCTATCTTGAAGCAAGAAATCTGTCACATTACCCCAGACTCTAATTTTAAGGCGAATGGCTTTGCTAGTGGAGCTGCAGACATTGATTGAATTTCGGAATCTCATGTCAAACACCTTCCTTTTATTTACACTGATTAGTCTTCTGTGTAAAGCATAGTATACAAAATGTGTTGTACATTTCTAGGGATCGTTGTGGCTTTTTCACCTCTTCCATTTATGAATAAGGTTGTGTTTCGAGCTCATTTTGTGCAGTTATTCATGGACATGCTGTTGCTTTTCCATAGCACTTATTGTCATAATCCTGGGGTTCTCCTTTCTGTGCCAGTCTTAACTCTGTTGTTAGTTATTCCATCTGTTGCCATATCTAACTCTAAGAGACACTGCAGACCTGAAACGGAAGAGGAAAAATTGCTGAAAGAAGAAATAAATCAGCTAAAGCAGGAACTCCAGAAGGAAGCTTCAGTGGAAGAGAACAAGGAACCTGCACCGGTGTCCGATGGAAATGATCAATCCAGCTTACGAGATGGAATAAGTCAGAAGGAGAAGGAACTAGAGACACTGACCCGTGAATTGGACAACAAGCTTCGATTTGCGCAGAAACCACATTTTGAAAGGCCTGGTTCTGGAGCAGGACGGACTGGCGGTTTCTATGATAACAGACCTTCTTCTCGCACTGGATCGGTCGACGAGTCCAGGAATGCCGAGTTTATCGACAGACCTCGTTCGCGCGGTGCACAAGATATAAATACAAGGCCCGTTGATGAGAGAAGGTCGTATCAAGGTGGCAGGGAAAGAGGATTTCTGGGTAGCAGAGACTTCGACAGGTGAATTTCTACTCTTGGTCATTGCACCTCATATAGCGACAGTAGCCGTGTTCTGCATGTTTATTTCAGTTCTTAGACCTGATATAGTGAAAGGGAGTTGAATTAGAAGCACATGTATAGTATTATGCCTAAATCTTCAGTGGCCGTTGAGACTGTATGTTGTTGTTAACGCTGTTTTAAGACATGCATCTGCTGCACGTAAATGGGAATTCAGTGAAAATAATGCTGCAGAGCTTCTTTTCGTTCTCTCAATCTCTTTTTACTTGAACTAGTTGATCTTTGTAGAGCTAGCTTGGAAACTGGTGGTGGTTTAAAGCAGGAATTCATTCATTCTCCTGATTGTAAATCATGTTGCCGTGTTTCCTTTTCTGCAGGCCAAGATCAAGGGACAGATGGTGAGAGCAGCAAATTGCATGGGGTTGAGGGGGATTCCTTGGGAGAAGTCTGTCATCGGGTTTTGACAAGCAGAACCAAATAATATTGTCTCACTTATTTCCCTTCCTCTCTCTTGTTGTTCATTTTGCTTTTGTTTTTGGGGAGCGCTCTGGGGAAACAGAGCAAAAGGATCGTTGAGTCTTAGCATTGAGACAGTCTTTTTTTTTTTTTTTTTTGGTTAGTCTGTTGTTTATTCGTTTCTAATCCCAAAAACTGTGTAGAATTTGCAGCCCCCCTGTTTAATCTTTTTTCCCCACCAACCATTTTTGGTTTTCAATTTGTTTCTATTGATGCAAGGAGGAGCCTGTATTTGTTGGTAGGTAGGAAGGAAGGCGAAGGACTCGTCTTTTCTTTTGAATATTTCACTGAACATACTGTCTCTCAGACTTTCTTCCAAGGAGTTGAGTTCAATCTGCATTGTAATTTTCCATGCCTTTCAACTAGAATAGCCTTTAAATAAGTTCATTCCCCTGTTGTCAATCATTGTGTGCTTTCTTAGCAAGAACAATTACTGTACAGAGTACAGACTCCTGAAAACTCTGCTCTCTAGTCTTCACTTTCCACAAGAATGATTTGGACTTATAGACCTCCCTGTTGGCTTATTTTACTGATCAGTGATCACTTTTCTGATTGTTTTGGTTGATTGAGATACTCCTTTCACTACAACTTGTTGGAAAACAATGATCCATAAGACCATGACCACAACCACGGAAATGTACTCTTTAAGAGACCAGATATTGTGCTACTAAGGCTATTGAGTTAGCACCATGTTAACTATTAGTTGTAGTAGTCTTCACTTTCCTGTATCGCTGTTGATCACATGACCTAAGTACTAAATCCGAGTTTTGGCCAAATTCTCACATGACCTAAGTACTAAATTCGAGTGTTGGCCAAATTGAGAATTTGGCGTACAATGTGTCTTGTCTGAGTATAGTCAGGGTTATGTGACGAAGTGTTTTATGTGACTGGCTTCATCAGGGCTATACACAAGGATATAATAAAAGAAGACAAGTATGAATTTGCAAAGGTGAGCTCAAAGATGCTGTTCATCAAAGCTTGAAATTGCAGGTGCATTTGTGAAGCCAAAGGGCATTCCAACGGATCATCAATCACAGGTATTGGGAATTTGTCCTTTACCGTTTTAGAATTTCGTTGCCTTGCCTATAGTCACTTAATTCCCCTTGCTCTGTTTTTCTGCGGGGTGCGATGGGGAAACAGCTCAAAGGAAAGGATCATTGAGTGCATTGACACCCTGTTGCTTCTTTTTCTGTTAATCTGTTGTTTATTCGTCTCTAATCCCGAAAGCTGTGTAGAATTTGCAGTCAAAACTCAATTCTGCCAAGGAATTCTTCTGCTCTGTAATTTTTCCATGCCTTTCTGGAACAACCCTTCGTCAAAGTTCATCTATAACCCGTAATCTCATTGTCTGCTTCACATCACATGAACAATTAATTAATTGTACAAAGCACTGGAATTCTCTTCAGTCTTCTTCCTCCTTCTCCTTGCAACAACAATCTCGTAACTATCTCCATTTCATGAATATTCAACAAACACACGAGCACGAGAGTGGATGATTTGGAATACAGATTACGTTTCAGATTTCTCTCCTTACCTAGACTACAACCAAGAAGACGAAAATTCTCATTCCGACAGTGACGGCAAAGGAACCACTCCTACTTCATTTATATAGCAATCCCTCTCCCACCATACCATGGGGCCTTATCCATTTGAAATCAAACGATCATCACAGAAATGGCTCCACTCCTACTTTGGGCACTTTCCTTGTCTTCATTTCTTCTTCCATCATCAGCTTCTACTTCGCCCTGCCATTTCCCAGCTGTGTACACCTTGGGCGATTCCAATTCCGACACCGGCAGCCAACCCGCGGTGTTCGGACGAGTTCCCTCCCCCAACGGCGAGACTTTTTTCGGCAAACCGTCCGGCAGATACTCCGACGGCCGGCTAGTCATCGATTTCTTGGGTACCCAATTAAACCTGAAAAACAGAGCACGCCCACATGCCAATGCCAGCCTTCGTCATCTGAGTTTTTTCTTTTTCTCTGTTTTTTTGGGCGCAGCTGAGAAGCTAGGGCTACCGTACTTGAGTTCCTTCCTGGATTCCATAGAATCTAACTTCAACCACGGCGCCAATTTCGCTTCAAGCGCAGCCACCATCCAGCCCGCCAGCGGGAGGATATTCGACGCAGGGTTCAGCCCTATCGATCTCAATTTCCAGTTCTTGCAGTTTCAGCAGTTTAAAGATAGAACCTTTGAGCTGCAGAAACAAGGTCAGTTTACTACACTGTAAATTAAAGCCGAGAACTTTCTCTTTGAAATCATTTAAATTTGGATGTTTCTTTGATACCCATTTGTGAGGGATGATGATGATGATTCAGGAAGAGGGATTGATCTGCATCGCTTGCCAGAACCGGAAGGGTTCGGATCTGCTCTCTACACTCTGGATTGTGGGCAGAATGACCTTCATGTTGGCCTAATCGAACGGGGCGGCGAGCAAGGTGCTCTTTCTTCCATCCCTATGGTCATCAACAACTTTTCTCTAGCCATAGAGGTAAATCAGTGACTGTTTCATGGAGAAGTAAGTGCCAGAACTGTCTTGATCAAGTGTCTGATCAATTTTGTCTGTTTTCTTTTCTTCTATACCAGAACCTGTACAAAGAAGGAGCAAGAACATTTTGGATACACAACACAGGTCCAATCGGCTGCTTGCCATTCTTCGTCATTAGGTACCCTCCAAAGCCTGGAAATGAAGACCCAATTGGCTGCATTAACTCCTACAACCAAGTGGCTCAAGAATTCAACAGACAGCTCAATGAAACAGTTTACAAGCTGAGAACCCAATTCCCTGATGCACTGCTCATCCTTGTGGACATCTATTCTGCAAAGTACTCTCTCATCAGCCAAGCTACAAAGAACGGTAAAGCGCCAAAAAAAAAAAAATGAATCTTAACCATTTGAATGCTAGCTAGCTCAAAATTGATACTAAAACTTTGTGGGATTCGATGGATTACAGGGTTTGAAGATCCACTTGGGTTTTGTTGTGGCCACTTGGGGGATGACTATGTGGTCAGGTGTGGGCAGAAGGCTGAGCTGAGGAATGGAAGTGTTGTGTATGGAGCTTCTTGCAGAGATCCTTCAAAGTACATCAGCTGGGACAATATACATTACACTGAAGCTGCGAATCGGTGGGTTGCTGACCGGATTTCCGACGGGTCGCTGTCGGATCCTGCTGTACCCATTACTGAAGCTTGTAGAAGAGCTGGGAGGTTACTGTAGTATTAGGTTTTGGCTAAAGGAGGTTATACACGGTTATAATCAGAGTGGGATTAGAGAGTAATTACATCAATGAATACATAGTTACATGTATGCTACTACTATCTGTCTCCAACACAATGGACATTTCGTTGTATGGAGTGTTGAAAATTTGGGAAGTTAGAAGTTGCAAGTTTAGATGGTTTCGGTGTATAGCGACACTTACAATGACAATACGTAATATGATTTTAGTGTTTATAACAATTAATAATGTTCCATCCCAATTTTTATACACCCATAAAAGTTCGTTGTATTTTATTTGGCAGGTCGACCAACTTAACGTGCCGATCAATTGGTTTAGAAGTACACAATATTGTTTTTCAGTGAAACACTTGAAAATCTATTAATAAAAACATTTTAAACGTTAGTTATAGTCTACAACCACATATGACAATTAGGAAACACTTGAAAATCTATTAATAAAAACATTTTAAACGTTTAGTTATAGTCTACAACCACATATGACAATTAGGAAACCACACTACACATTTGCATAGCTACTGCAAAACTATAGCCCTTGCATTTGAAGGTACCCAGGGAGAAAAGCAGTAACGAAGCACAACAAAAGTAAAAACAAAGACGACTTCACTGGGGATCGAACCCAGAATCTCTGGTTTCGTAGACCAGCGCCTTATCCATTGGGCCATGAAGTCCTATCATTAGTAGATTTGACTGTGCACGGTATATATTAATATTGCTCAGCGGCATTTGTTCTCAGGTGCAAAAAAAGACTCAGAAAATGTGACTGACCATGCAGGTTCAGGTTAAGTCACGACTAGACAGTTAAGTTGATACTAGTAAAGGAAAATTGTAAGGGGTTTGACTAGACATAAGTTTGATGATGATCCACCATTTCCCATATCTCATTCTACCTTCCAAGCATACAGTAACAAGCAAAAGCTGCTTGATGATGATCCTCCACTTTCATCACCATCAGAAGAAACTGGAACTGCAACTGGCTTGAATATGAAGAGACCATGTCTTGCTCTTGTAGTTGTACCAGAACCAAACAACCAATCATGGACATCCCAATATACCTCCACAGTCCACTCTACTGTTGTTTGCTCACAAACATTGACTCCTTCTTTTAGCTAGGTAAACACAGCAGACAGACAGCAAGAAGACCTGCTTTGCATTGGCTGGAAATTTCAGGGGTGGTCCAGTGAGAGACCATCCATGTTATATTGTGGTCGTGAATCACATGGGAATATGTGATTGAGCTAGAAGGTGAGTGACAAAAGGAAAATGGAGGGACAGAAGAGAAGAATTCTGGCAACCGTTGGCAGTTTCGAAAGATCATGATGTTTAGCTAATCTTCTGAACAGCAAACAACTCTTTCTCCCCCTCTCAAAGGGTAATGGAAACCCATAACTAGACCAGCTGCAATGCTTCTTCTTACCTCACATATGTACACTGCACAAGGAGATGAATGGTAGTATATGGTACATCATGGCAATGAGCTAAGGTAATCTCATTTCTTGCTTCTGAAGTAACTGAGAAAGTATCCCATGAACTCACCATGTTCCTCTCAACATCCTCATCCTGTGTATTACAACTCCATCAGCACATAATGTCGAAGAATACATACCAATCTTGCTTTATAATATCCTAGTAATACTCTGCACTTTTTTCTACCTTATTCTCTGTTCTTCGCCTTTCATCCTCCCTCTCTGCTCTGTGGTAAGGGCTTCTGCCAACAAACCCTACATGACTTGTTCCCACAGAAATTACGGAATCTACCAACATTAGTGAAATTGCATGTAATTCTCCCTCCCATAAAAGTAACTGCAACTCTTTTGCGGAAAAGTAAAAAAAAAAAAAAACATTACAAATTTAACCTTTAGCTTCTTTACTTTTCCTTTAGCAAACAAACATCACTTAGTAAAGAAAATAAAATATTATTCAAAAGAGAGAATCCATCATCGTCATTCTGAAATTGGAATCGTCGATATGATGTCTGGATCATGACTAGCGACTCTGAATCGGTAAAGTTCACTCCAAAAATTGGGGGGAAAACAAAAAAGGGAACCGCAGCTCGTTTGCAGTCGCACCATGGGCCAACCGCAGCTCACTTGCGGTTGGTATGGTGCAACCGCAAGTGCTGCAAGTGAGCTGCGGTTGCACCGTGGACCAACCGCAGCTCATTTGCGGTTGCTACCGTGGACCCACCGCAACTCATTTGCGGTTGCTCCATGGACCAACCGCAAGTGAGTCGCGGTTGCACCATGGACCAACGATAACTTGCCTTAGGCTGAGCATTTTTTTGGAAATTCGGGTAGAGAACGGGCGACGACGACGACGGGAAAGGCGTCGGCGGACTGGTGCGTCGAGAGGGATTCACGAAGAAGGCAGATGTGGGGTTCAATTTGAGGAGTTAGGGATTGTTTGGTTTGTTTAAATTTTTAAATTTTATTGAGGGTATATAAGTCATTTATCATTAGAATTAGGGCAAAAGTTAGCAATTTTAAGGGCGACATTTAGCGATTCAGATATTTAGGGATGGCAATGAGTCGGGTTTGACCAAATCCAAACACAAACTTATGGGTTTATCGGTGAAAAAAATTCGGGGTAAAATTCATTGCGTTTGAAAAACTTAAACCCAACCCAACTAGTTGGCAGGGGTGGATACATGAGTTTTAGGGGTGTCCCGGGACACCCCCTAAATTTTGGGAAAACGATTATTCAACTCCCGGTAGTAGTATCATATGGATAAAAAATTATTCTTTTTTAAATACTACGTAATAGTAAAAACTAAAAATGCTATTTCTTATCCAAACTATTTTCAAAACCTAACAATTAAATTAATTACAGGATACCCTCAATTTGAATTGCTTTTATGGTTACACGACAAGTGTTGAAATCGAATATGCGATCAGTTTGTGAATTATTGTCTAGTATGATATACAGATTTGTTGAGCAGTGTACTGAGTCTATTTTATTTTTTTCAGAATATGAAAACACATAGTGACTTTTTTTGAAATTTATACTAGTCTGATATTTTTTATCTAGAATTTTTTTTTATTTTTTATGTAATTTTTGGTAGAGGACACCCTTACAAAAAATTTATGGATCTGCCACTGCCGCTGGGTACTCGTGGTTTCATGGGTACCCATGAGTTTTTGTCGTAAAAAATTTACAATAACAAGTTTCTATCAAAATAAAAGTCAAATATCAATCTCTCAATACAAATTATTCATATATAAAAGGGTAATGTCTATTTTTTATCCAAATATTTTTTAAATTCTTCTATATGATCCAAACCTATTAAAATGCTATTAATTCTTAGTATTTCGATAGGTTTGGTTAATAAAAAAGAATCCAAAAAAGTTTTGGAGAAAAAGTAGACATTACCCTATATAAAACACCAATCTAGAAAATTCAAGCAAATCACAAATTAATCATACAAATTGTTCAACACCAATCTAGAAAACTCAAGAAAATTGAAGTAAATCACAAATTATCCATAAACAAAATGATTAATTGAAAGTTTCTTCCTCCTTGTCAATTAAGCTTCTTCACTCTCCACTCGATAATATCAACTTCATTCGACACAATTAGAAAGAAAAATTAGAAATATCTCCACAAACATAAAGAAGATTAATTGCTTAGATTATTAAATATACCAAAAAATTAATTATATGGGTGTGAGTGGGTATCCATGGAGTGGGTATACATAAACCCAACCCCAATCCAACCCGGTGAATAGTGAACGAGTTTAAACCCGAACCCGCCCCAAAACTCGTCAACACGAGTTTTACCCGCGTTGACCGGGTTGGGTCGGGTAGGTTACTCGTGGGTTCGGGTTTTATTGGCATCCCTAGCTAAATTCCAATAGCAAAAGTACATAGTTATTCTAGGATTAATCTCACAAATAAGATAAATCACTCCAAAAAAAATGGTAAGGAATACTCTCTAGACAAGAGTATAAGGTTCAAAAAGGCGCTAGGCGTAAGACGGGCGTTGAGACTTTGCCTAGCGCCTAGCTCGCCTAGGCGTAGACTAAGTGTGCCTAGGCGTTGGAAGAAAAACAGATATTCACACTGCATGATGAATGAAATAATAATCTATTACCTTTTCTCACTTTAGTAAAAATGATTGTTAAAACATAGCTCACAAATTCTATGAATCATAGCTCAAAAACTCACGAAGTTCTTGAGCTATTGAAAATATTGATATAGAAAATTGATTTCGTAGTTAACGTTGATTTTCTCCTTTAATATTGTCTTTCTCGCTCCATCTATTAATCTTTAGGATAGACTTATATGTCGCGTTACTCCATTGACGTGTTCCAGTATCTAATTAGGCGCGAAACCCCTAGGTGAGGCGTTTTGCCATTGCCTTGCACCTAGGCGTGCCTAAGCGTAAGATTAAGCGTGCCTTTTTTAACCATGAGTCAAGACACAATAAATAATTATAATCTTAGACACAAACTAATATAAATATCTCAAATAACCATGTATGTTCAAACTCTCAAAAGGAAATACAAATTGCACAAAAACACCAAAGAAACATTACAAGAATAATGACACTATTATCCATGCACTCCAAACTTGTCTTTTAAATCGTTGTGAGTTTTTTTAAACCAATCAACCGTTTATGAATAATTTTGTCATTTTTTTGGAGTGAATAGAGTCTGGAATAGGTCGACCCACTGACCCAACCAATATGATCCAAAAAAAATCATAGGTTAATCGTGTTTTAATCATTCAGATTTTGAGTTATAAAACTATAACCTAGTTTTGATTTTTGTACGGGTTAGGATGGGGCAAATGGGTCGAGTCATTATTTTCCATATCAATCATCATAAACAAATAGATATTTTGATGTTGTCACATATATTGATAAAGAATATTATAAGAGAATATTACATGCCCCAAAAGAATTTATAACAAAATAGATACTTTTTTTATGTTTCTACTAAAAAAATTAGAGTAAATACAATTTATTAATCAAATCTTTCAAAATTTTCATATGATTAATCAAACCTGTCAAAATAAAAATATTAGCTAAATCTTTTGTAATTAATAAAAATATTAATATTTTTCCTATCATCGTTAATAAATTTGTATTCCTTTACTTAATTAAGGTAGTATACTTTTAGAATGTTGATCGCAAATTTCTTCCAACTCAACATTATGTTGTCAATTCAAAATTAAAAAAACTATTAATGAAAAGTTAACGTTTGACAAATATTTTATATTTTAAAAGATTTAATTAATAATTTGAAAATTTTGGCTAATAAAGGTTAAATGAATTTCTTCTTCCACGGGAACGGGTACCCATCCCATTTAAAACGGGTACCCATTCCCATTTGGAGGGGATAATCCATCCCATATCCCAAACCCATACGGGAAATGGGTACCCA